TATTGGGTCACGTGACTAATTAGCATATTTTTATTTTTTGCTTAAAAATGGCATTTTCCCAGGGTTTTACCCTCCGTAGAGTGCTAAAACAGCCTCCTCTACTTATTTGTTATGTGTTCGGCAAAAAAGAACGACCAAAAACCGTTTAATTTTCCTTATTTTTTCGCCAAAAATTCCATTTTTCAGTGGGATCCCTGTGTAAAATGCTAGTATCCAGTCCCTGAGCATGTCACCTCTTCATTTCACGCACGCTGCTGTTGGTGGTGGATGTGTTTCAACGGGTGCAAAACACGATGGGCTTTTAGGCTGAAATTGTACAAGAACAAAGATCGTTATTAGCTCGTGCTCGACCTAACAGAGAGAGAAGTACACGAGAACTAAGAAAGGTAAGAGTTATTTCGTTTTTTCTGCGTTTTCTTTCGTTTTTCTGTATTTTTGACCAGTTTAAAAACTTCGAATGTTCGTTTCACCGGCTTCGTCCGCCATAACACATGTCATTTTCGAAGCCTAAAAATTTCACTTTTACTGTCACGAACAACTATATTTATTATAAATATACAATCTTATAAAGTTTGAAAACAGTTTGCAAGCTTAGCTTGAGAATATATTCATTTTCTTATATTTTGAATTTTTTAATTTTTAACCTTGCGCGAAATTCAACTAATAAAACTTTCAAACCTCTCCTCCCTCGATTGAACCAAAAAAACCCCTAAACATTGCCCTTATAGAATTATCTTTTTTGTTTTTGCAGTGATAAAAATGCACGTTTGATGAAAAAAAGTATAAGTTCAGTGAGGTCGTAACAGGATGGCTGTTGATACCTGACATCTAGCTTGTAGCCACATACTGCACCTTGTCTCTATTAACCAATACATACACGCCAACCAGTATGCTAACCATGGAATAGTCCAGTATCTATCTTGTAATGATGGATTAACTGCACTAAAACAAGAAAGAGAAAAAGACTTTGATGACAATATGGACTCACCTTGTTAATTTATGAGTATTGACCTGATTAATGATGTGTTGACCTGGTGATGACCCTGTGACCTTCATAAGAATGTGGACTCACCTTGTTGCTATATCAATATAGAAGTGAATATCAAGATGATATCAATGTGCTAACCTGGAGATGACCCTGTGACCTTCATAACAAAATAAGCTCACCTTGTTGCTGTATGAATATTGACCTCTGAGATTGACCTTTGAGTATTGACCTGAAGAGCATGATGGTTACTCCATCATGGTAACCCTGTGGTAAAGGGTGTTAACCCTAGATGAATCCCTTACAATGTTCCAAGGATACATCATTACTGATTGCCAGGTATGTGCATTTTTAAGCTTAATGTCCAGAATTAACTGTATCTAAGGCTACTTGAACACATTTTCTACAATTAGCCAATGAAAAAAAATCAGCATGAATAAAAAATACTAATTAATATTCATGATTGACATAAAAACGCCTTAATATGTCAATGCTACAAATTTATGCTAATTCACAAAAATGTGAAAATTGGCAAAAAGAAATTAAAACATTTGTATCAAGGCAATGACAATAATGCAAACCATATATCAGTGAAATAGTACTAACTAATTAGTACGAAATAGCATCAATGAAACAATTCAAAACAAAAGAAACCAAAGTTTTTAGTGCTATTCGGTAGTTCCAGAAAACATTCATACATCACCCATGAAGGAAATTGGAAATTCTGGAGGGGAGGGGAGTCAGAAAAAGAACAAAATCACAGAGTTTCTATGGAAGAAAATGGGAAGTTTCTGAGGATAGTGGGGTCCTTTAACAAATTTTCTCCATGGTGGGGATATTGATATTTTCTGGAAATCCATATGTCATGGATATATGGTTTACACTTTAGGGTACAGAAGAGTATGGTACTGTACATTAACATTCCGTAAAACAAAAGCTTTATATAACAAATTTATACCTGCTTCTAAAAAATTATCTCTTCCTATTTGCAGCTTGTCAGCCATTACAGATAAGTCCAAGTTATGATGCTGTCAGTCTTTTGTGGGACATTCTACACATGACAGACAAGTAAGTTGAGCTTTATGTTGTCCCTGTTATAATGTCAAATGATGAATAAGAGATGTGAGAATATTTGTGCTAGTTAGCTACATGTATACAATGGTTAAAAGTGCCATGTTATGCAATATCCAATGCATCCCTTGCATTGTCTAGCAGTTAGCAAAAAAATTGTATAATTTATATGTTTCTAAAAAATTCTTCCTTTTTCCCCTCAGCTTACCAGCCATTACAGTCAAGTATCTTGTGATGCTGTGTAGCTTTGGCCAGTATACATGACAGACAAGTAAGTTGAGCTATTAGATATGTTAGTGTACAGACTGCAAGCAATCCCTCCATTTCCTTTTGTCACTGTTTGCTGTGGTTAACTTGGCTGAGCAAGGATTGGTAGCTAGTTTAATATCCCCAGGGGGAGGGTGCTAGGTAGTTTATGCAAAACGAAACTGGAGGGTATACATGTATTCCAATGCATTTATCCCCTTGCCCTGATCACTTGGTCAAAGAAAATATGAAGAATGACAAAGTAAAAACAGACTATTGACAGTCTAGTTAGAGTACAACCCTACTATGTATCCTGAACTATACCTTTCTGTATTGTTGTTGTATTTCTGAGGAATCAGAATCTTTGACACTTTAATCACATAACTTTATCACTGTTTATGTTTTGACAAGTTGCGAACATGAGACAGGATTTTGACCATATTCTTCTGTTTTCTCTGCAGTTATACCAAATCTGTCATATTCAGTCATACCAAGCTGTTGTGCTGTAAAGCCTTGTCAGATGATGCAGCATCACCAAGAGATGAAGCACCATCAAGATCCAGTCAATCAGTACTGAAGACAGTAATCACCAACCAATGATAAGAATATAATGCTATCAGATTGAGTAACATAATATATAGATTGAAATATTACCAATTTTTTTTTAGGAAATTAGCATTTTCTAGAGATTACAAAAAGCTTAAGCTTATTATTCAAAGAAATTGCTAATTATTCAAAGAAATTGCTAAGTTTTCAAAGAAATTTGGAAATAACTTTAATTCAAACTAGAATATCAAAAACAAAACAAGGGATGCCCCAGGCCTAGGATTAAACGAATGTAAACATAAGATCAAAAGGGAAGAAGGAAAAAACCTTTTTCAGAAGAAGTTCAAAGGAACTATTATAGTTTTACCTAGGCCTAGGAGTAAAAAATCTTTAAGCAAAAAGAAAGAAAAAAAAGGGAAATTTAATATAGAAACTCTAGAAAATAGTAAAAATAATGTTTTGTGCTAGAGGACTGGTAATGCAGGACTCATAATAGCAAAAGCATTTGGTCAGCACAAGTTGATTCTCAGTGTTAGATTAAACTAATTTATTTCTCCTCTAATGTTATCTTCATCTGCCCTGCCATCGGTAAAATTGTGCTWCCATATTGCCCACTATTTTGAGTCCTGTAGTCAAGTTTATAATTTCACAAGTACTTTCGTAGGAATGTTTTGTTCATGGTTTACAATTGAAACCATCTTGATTCTAAACTCTTTTCAGCATGATTTCAGACAACTTTGTTTTATTCAAAAGCTATAGCTTTAATTAATTTAATATTGAGAAGAGATAATATTTGAATTGCTTGCATGAATTAATAGGATAAAGTTTATTGAGAATTTATTCAGTCATCTGAAAATGAAGCCATAAAGGCGTAGAAAAAATTTTATTGCTATTGAATTGATTATTGAATATGATGAAGATACTTCTTATTACCAGTCCTCTAGCCTAAGATATTAGATATAGGAGAGTGTTTCACTAARATATTTGAACATTTGTAATCCAAATTATTTAATTTTCAAATATTCAAGTTATCTAAAAGTAACACATTTTTTGCAACTAGTCAAGGGTTCACAGTAAAAACCAAATTAAGTTAAATTTTATTTTATTTTTTGCCCAATTTTAATTTTTCTCAAGTTTAAAATTTCAAYGACATTGGTATTGGCAGTTAGTTTAAGACTTTTTTGTTTAAAATCTACTGGAACCCTTCACTAGTTAGAAACACTCTCCTGTATCTAATATTATTATCATCTATTATTTATACACCAGAAAAATGAAATACACTTGATACCTCCCACGAGGTCTTATCAGCACCTAACAGAAGCTGCCCCACCAGGCCAGGAAACCACTAAAGGCGGTATAAAATTGCTGCTCTCCGCAGAGTCTAACCTTGAGGCTGTGATCAGATGACTGCTCTGAAGTTGAAGGTTGTCGGTAAGGATACCAGGTGATGGCTCTCTGCAGATTTCTTGGGAGTGCGCTGATGGATGGATGCCAGCCAATGTGCAGGTTAGTGTGAGTAGGAGCAGAGATAATCATATCGTACTATTCATGGGTGTGTACAACAGTGATAACTTTGAGGCGGTGTGCTCAATAGACTTGCATAAGACACCATTCAGATTTTCATACAAGTAGATTATCAAGCTGGGAAGACTAGAAGTTGAATCATTTCTAGGTGATCTAATCTTGCGTTAATGATGCTTGGCTAGACTGATATACAAGGTTCTATCATAGGATTGTAATTTAATTAGTTTTTTCACCAGCAAAATAAGACCTCAGTTTCTTTTAAAACKCTAATAATAAAAGTCATTAATAAAAAATATATAATAACAAGAGAAAAACTAAACTAAAGAAAGAAAATTGAAAATGTCAAGAGTTCATTAATAAAAACAAAACACAACTTAAGAAAAATGCACTGCAAAAGAAAATATGTTCAGAAAAAATGCACTTATAATTTCTTAGATGAAACTGAGGTCTTAAAAAAAGCTTTTAACAAACGAAAAAATATACTTTTGGCAAACAAAAACATGTTTTGAAAAAAAACTAAAATTAGAAACAAAAATATTCAATGAAAGTCAAACACTCAATTAGTTCCAAACAATTTGAATAATAATTATCAACTGATGATGTGAATTAAAAAATCAAAAACAAATTACAAATTTAACACAGAGCAACTACAGTAAATGTATGAATTGACCATTAACTTTGAATAAACTGGAGCTTTTTATGAATTGAAGATGAAGACTTTTGTCATACAAACTATACAGTAATTTCCATGGATTTTCATGCAATCATTTTGGAGATAAATCAAAATTTGAAACTGGATCATTTCTTTCAATATGCCCTAAATTACTGATTGACTAAATTAATGTTTAGTACAAATTCAGCTGTGCAGAATCATGAAATAATATACAAAAGTGCAAAGAAATAAATCCAAGCCAAACAAGGCAAATGTGAAATAAAAAATGAATGAATAGAGGACAAGGTGAGCCATCAATGAATGGCATCGAAACACCATACCTCACAATCAAGAAACATGCAATTACACTTGAATTAAATGAAAAATAAAATGTAAAACCAAGAGTTTTACTATGGATTATTATGTCCAAAGCACTTGTAGTATATGCACAAGCTGTCCAAAACCAAAGTGTCTCAAGCACATTTGATGCAGAAAATTAACAACTATGGTATATATACTCTGAATGAGGCATGGTCAATTTTTGTACATGTAGTTGCTCACAATTCAATTCCAAACTGGAAAAAAAACCACTTTGAATTTCTTTTTAATTAATGATGGCTCTGTTACTTCTGCCAAGGAGTTATTTGCTGGTGAAAAAACTCTTATTAACAAGCTTAGGATCCTGAATACTTACCTAGGGCTAGGAATAACACCCCAAGACTTTACCTATCCTAAATCATCATTAAATAAAAAATAAATCTGATGCATTCATGATTTAAACAACCATCTATAGGTCAGTCCCTTTGAACTAAAATTGATCAAGTGGATTTGGTATCATCTTGAGTAACTTGCAGCACCGTTACTCACACCTGTCAACAAAAGCCTCAAGTTTCAAAACATCAGAAAAGTTAAGTGTTTTTTTTCCCTCTACGACATTCATTATGCCTTTGCCATTTCATCAGGAACCAGGGTTCGGTCAATAACAACTGGGTCTAATGACTGTGTGTATGGTTTATATAATATATAGTAATGACAACAGACAACAAAGTGTGTGCGTATGTATGCATGTATATGTATGGTGTATCAGTAAAGATGAACGCTATCAAACTATTCATGACAAAATAAATGGTGCCACATAAAATGTGAAGACTATATTTCACACCCCAAATAGATCCAAGTAGAAAATATATCATTCAATCAGGAATTAATTATTTATTCAGTAAAATTGTGCAGCCAAATTATGCTTTCTTTCCGAGATTGCATTAGATTAACTTGTACATTTAGTTTCAGGGGTGTAATATAACGTTACGTAGACACCACACCATTTCATTCATTCTTGATCATTCTAAATTCACTGTGATGACTGACGGTACAACAAAACATGTGCAAGTTTCTTATATATAGCTTCACCAAAGGAGTCATTAAAATATAAAGCCTTTTCTAAACACAAAGTACAATTTGTATTTTGGATTGATTCTTGTACCGCCAATAAAATATTTTTTTAAATAAAGAGCATTTTGTCATGAATAGTTTGATAGCATGGCTGTCTAGCATTGATAAATCTGTTTGAGGCATGCCAGCAATTCTGGAACCAATGAATCTGAACTGCCACTTTAAAAAAATCTATTTGCAGCCTTCCCCAGGATTTCCATAGCATTTCTTAAGTAAGTTTCTTCACAATCATTTAAATATATCTTTTCTTTTAGCATAGTGATTTTAGATCATTTTCTTTAGGTATCACAATAATGAATATCACAATGGACTCTTTCTTGACAGCTGGATAATTTGGTTCAGTCAATTCCCCTCATATTCACATTCCTTGTTTCATACATGTGATACCTAATGGGATATTGTACCTAGCAGTTGTGAAAGATTCCCTTGCGACATGCCTCAAACAGATTTCACATCTACCAACAGCATCAGAATTATCTGTATGTTATGTGCAACCCTCCCCCCGAGTTTCACACCCTTTATTTCATCAACTACTAACTACCAATAATGTTATTGTGGGATATGGTTTGAGGCTGGTATTGGTTTATCAATTAAAAAGAAAAAAAATGAATTATAAATACATAGACTAAAATCAGCCATGAACAGGAAAGCATAATTATCTAAGTGATTCATGGTCAAACATGAATCAAAGTCAGTTTTTTTGCAACTACTAGGGATACCTGTGTCAATTAAGTTTTTTAATGCCAAACCCCCCCTCCCCCCAAAAAATCATAAGTGTGTGGCACATATCTAAACATTTGAAAAGTCATTCTTTCAAAAATATTCAAAGTGGGACATCAACAGGTTTCTACTTTGCCTATCCCTTTCCATTAGTTGGACTTCAAAATAAAGTGCCAACGAAATAAAGTATGGATATATGGATGTTAAAGTGCAAATGAAATATGGTACAACAGGAAACCTATGGGAACTCAAAAAGTGGAATGACAAATGGTAACATGAAAAAAAAAAAGAAGAAAAATGAATAAAGTGGAAAATTATAATATTCATTCTGCTTTTCCCACTTTTCCACATTCCCACTCAGTTTGAATTTGCAGTTCATTGATACAATACAATATGTCACCCCACCCTTCCCTAATTGGGTAGATTTCATTGGGTATACCAAAACTTATTTAAGTACTGTTTAATAAGCAGCAGTGTTTTATTAGGTATAAAACATGAGGCACAACCGAGTGATTTTAGACCCAATAAAACATGATCTGCAAGCTTATTAAAGGGCTTAAAAAATTCATGATGTAGGTTCTCCTATCATACCGAATTCTTTACAAAATAAACCAAGTTGAATAGAAAAAATCCAAGTTGAATCAATATAAAATCTCCTTCATGGTCATGGTTTTTATCATGTTTCCTTCTTGAATTATGGAGTTTTTTAATCGGTAAACAAATATT